CCCCCACACACACACTCAAACACCCAAAAAAATGTATTAAAACCACAACACGAGAAATGTGGTGTTGAGACTGTACACATTGGGTCCGTTTCGTAATTGTATCCAGTCCATAGCGTAATTTACTAGATCTAAGTAGAGAACGCCATGATCCAGTCCCATGTAAATTCATTCAAGACACCTCGCTAATTCAACAGTGTAGACCAAGAATTACCAAACTATGGCAAAGCGCAGAGACGGTCAGAGAACGGTTAGTATAAGAACGTACAGTGCTGGCCATAAAATATTCGGCCCGTGAGGTCGGCTCATCTGCTACGCGACATGCCACAAAGGGAAGAAAACAAAATTTGAGAAAACGTGTTTTTTTTTATTTTTAATAAGAGTTTTACGGTACTTGCATCACAATAAGGTCATATAAAAGTGCCGAAGAATAGAGGTGTTACAAGAGAGTAACATACACAAAAAAGAAGGAGGAGAAATTAGAAGGACGATAGATGTTTCATAGGAAAGAGGGAGCAAACCACACCACAGCACCCGCCAACCACCCACAACGTCGTGTTTGTATGTGTAAATATTTCATAATATTGTAGCGAATGCATCACACTCTTGCTCGACTTTAACTTTAAGGTGATTTTTTCTTCTTTTTTTATGTAGCGTGTTTCTACGCCCCCATTCAAATAATCTGGAGCACAGATTAAAAGAGTCAACCTTCTGACCCTGCATGTCAGGGGGAAAAGAAAGAGAAAAAAAAGGGCGGGCTGAGAAGGATACAACATCTCAGGAGAAAAAAAACGGGATACTTTATTTTCTTTATAAAAATGTTCTCCTCACTCGAGGAATTGATCTCGGGTCTCCTGCATGCGACAGCGAAGCGCTTAACTTTTGCACTACTCTGGTTTTAGTATATATGACTATTCAGATTTCATTTAACGCATCAGTGTATCATATTGAACAAAAAATAATTCTTTTTATGGACGGTACTGGGCGTTCTCTCAGTAATACGGTTTTTCTTCTTCTTCTTCTTCTTCTTCTTCTTCTTCTTCTTCTTCTTCTTCTTCTTCTTCTTCTTCTTCTTCTTCTTTTTCTTCTTTTTCTTCTCCTTCTTCTTCTACTCCTCCTACTCCTCTTCCACGTTCTCATTATTATCATTACATAAGTATCATTATTACTATCACTATCGTCGTCATTATTATTATTATTATTATTATTACTATTA